AACTCAATGATTATCCTAATTATATTTTAGATTTTTTGCATCTAAAATGAGATGTTTATCCTATATTTGATTATGTTTATCTGCAGTTAGTTACACGAATTCAGATATGAAGTTTTAATAAGTTGTACTTAAACACGATCTACCTGTAATCTTGAGTTTTAAGTAATATGCATATTAATTAACAATACTTTACGCAAAAAAGTGGTTTTTAAGAATTTTTGTCAAATGCTTTATAATATAGTCTATACTATATTATAATATAATATTTTGTCAAATGCTTTATAATATAGTCTATACTATATTATAAAGCATTTGACAAAAACCCTTAAAAACCATTTTTATGCATGAAGTACTGTTTATTGATGCGTATTACTTAAAATTCAAGATTACAAGTAATTTTGCACAAGTACAACTTATTAAAGCTCCATTTTTAAATTCGTGTAACTAACTGCAGATAAACATAATCAAATATAGGATAAACATCCATTTTAAATATAAAAAATCTAAAATATAACTAAGATAATCATTGAGTTCTAATAGAATGTTTAATTATTATCTTTATATAAATTACTTTGTTATTAGACCTAAATTAAATTATAATAAAAATTTGAATTAAACAAGTTACACAAAAAAAGAACTATTAAATAATTAATTTGATAATAATATCGATTTTATTTTTTCAAAATTTTATGATATTTTCAAATTTATATGTTATTCAAAAATAAAATCATTATCGTTTTATCAAAATCATACAAAATCATATTATATCGATAGAGACAAAAAACAAAACTAAACATTAAAATCGTTGCATTGCACGAGTACCCTTCTAGTATAGATTATGTGTTTTTAAGAAAACAATAATGATTTTATTTTTGAATAAAATATAAATTTAAAAACATCATAAAAATTTGAAAAAAAAAAATATCAATGTTAATATCAAATCAACTATTTAAAAGTTCTTATTTTTTTTATATAATTTCTTTAATTTTTTTATTATAATTTAATTTAAGTTTAATAAYGAAKTAATTTATTTTTGGTTTAATATTATAAATTTTATAAAGAAAATAATTAAATATTATGTTAGAATTTAATGATTATCTTAATTATATTTTAGATTTTTTATATTTAAAATGAGATGTTTATCATGCATTTGATTATGTTTATCTGCAATTAGTTACATTAATTCATATATGGAGCTTTAATAAGTTGTACGTACACATAATCTACTTGCAATCTTGAGTTTTAAGTAATATGCATTAATAAACAGTATTTTACGCATAAAAAGTTGTTTTTAAGAATTTTTGTCAAATGCTTTATAATATAGTATAGATTTATTGTTTTTAGTTTACAAACATAATGTACAAGTCTTTACAACTTTTAAAAAATTAAACTTGAACCCCCTGTTTTTTCAGGGTAGGAAGGGTAGAGAAAATACCTTGAGTCCCGGTCATGGAGTCTTTCGAGATAAGACTGAGGCTCGTGAAATAGACAGCAAGCAAGATCCCAGTCTTCCTCCTTTCCCAACAGGGCAGCATCTTTGTCATACCTTCTTCTCTTTGTTCTTTCTCCAAAACCTTTTAATACTCATATCACATGCTTGAAAACACACCTCCATATGCGATCTAATTGAAAGGGTGAAAGAAGTTACAAACCGAATGAGTCTTTTTAGAACGAACACCATAGATGAAAAATCTTTCAATCAACCTTGCACTGCTGATAAATCTCAAAACGATTGAATAAAGAACATATAGGAGAAGGACAATGAATTGAGTTTGGTCACTAGTTACTTAATTCATTCTTATAAGTTGTAAAGACCCTACGATTGGCCAAATTTCCCACCCAAATTGGTATACTTCAATTCAAATGACTAGAACTGTAACTATGCGATGCAACATAATGTAAAATTTAATTATAAACCGAAAATCTAAGTTTTATGATTTTTTTTTGGATATTGATCAAGTGTGATATGTGTTTCCAAAATTCTAGAATATTTTATTGTTTATTTAGTTGATTGTCATTATATTTGAGAAATATAGTACATATTTTAAAAAACTTTGTTCTTTAACAGATGAGCAAAATATGGATATTTTATAAATTAAAAGGTTTTGTATGCATTAATAATTTTTATTTAATGTTTTATAAATTGTAATATTGAAAAATTAAGAGTTTTTAAGATCAAAAACCTAAATGGTTTATACTTTAATGTAGATTGGTGTAAATTAAAAATACTATAGTTTTGCAAGCCCTTTGAACTATTTATCTTATGAGCAAGCTATTTAAAAGGTTCAATGAATTGAGAGATCTAAGTATGCCCATTTCAATTGCGATTTGAGCCATCAAACTTGTCGTAAAACAAATCAAGAAAGTCAACCTCAGACAACTTACCAAAAGCTCGAGGAATTGATCCATGGAATGTGTTAAAATTCAAAAATCTAAACTTCTTAATAACGTTGTTTAAGATATTCCAGATACATATACATGAATCTTGTTTGTGAGTAGTTTCATGAATTGAATCGTGTGTAAAAAGTTGCAAATCAAGTATTTTCTGAAAATGCTCAGGAAGCATAGAATTTGGTGAGATTTGATATTTTTGTTTTTGGTTGATGAATTTAAGTGTCTTGATCGATTGTTGCCATCTCAACGACCTTTTATTCTTGTTGTTGGTTTCGGGGAAGGAGTGGCGGGGAGTGGGGTTAGAGGAAGAGGAAGGAGTTTGTGCGGTGTAGGGGGAGGTGTGCCAATTAGGAGGGTATAGGATTTAGGTTTCTTTTTTGCAAATGCTTAAACGACTTGTACATTTGCTTTAAAGACTTATATTTTTTTTATAAAGAAGAGGCAAAATGACCAAAATTCCCCTCACAGTAACTAGTATGTGAGGCCACTTAACGGCAACACCTAATGAACATTAGGCTAGAGAACAGTAACACTGGAGGAACAAAGAACAAAATATTCCCAAACAATGGGGATGATTTTGTAGTTTACTCAAAAAATTAATAAAATTTTTATTAGACTAAACTTTCATTTAAATTTATTTAGACCATAAATAAAAAGAATCCACATGATTTGCTCAAACTATAGTAATTATTATCGTTCCAACCGCACCCTTCACCAATTTGCTAAACCATTTATCTATGCCCCTAAGGCTCTAACTGACACACAAAATGGCAGAGACGAGTGTTGTGATTGAGCAAATGCAAGGTACACAATGATCATATTGAATATTCTAGAGAAAGAAACCAGCACCACACAGACCTATTGTAAACCCTAACTCACGTTGAGCACAAATTAGTTAAGATTCTAGTTGAAATGTAAACATTCAGATTTCTCAATGTAGTTGTGAACCGACTATGTTTTCACATTAGATTTTTTGCGCTCTCTCTCTCTTTCTGTTGCGTCTTGAATCGGTTTTAGATAAGGATTATGGAATATAGTTTATTGAGGGTCTGATTTCTTGAATTATTATGGGAAAGTTATGTAATAAGTGTTTAAGGTAAAAGTTTGATGAATTTATTAAGAAATGAAGCTGGCCTAAGCAAATTTCAAATAGTGGCAAGTTGGAGGGAGTCACTTGCATGGAGGAAGACAATAAAGAAGGAGGAGAAGGGGGGTTGTGGGTTTGTTTTGGTTTTATTTATGTTGAAGAGGTTCTAAATGATTGTACATAAGTTTTATATACTTGTGCACTAATTATTGTTGATAAAAAAATCATCGAAATACTCCTCAACTAAATGGATGAACTTTACATTTGTTAAGAATAGGGATAATGGTGTAAGCAGATTGAAACGACATAGAATGTGATGTAATATGAAATTGTAATGGCAATTGATGGAGTTTGACCATATGAACGATTAATGTAATTTATATTAAAAAGAATTTAAATTTCTAGTATTTTTACATGTCAATATAAGTATATTTTTCATATTATAAATCATTTATATCATACTTTATAATAATAAAATTTGCAAATTATTATCGCATATATACAATTTATTAAAACCACGTTCGAATTCCATAAAACTAATTGATAAATAGATTTAAAATATAAGATAAACATTAAACTCTACTAATAGAATGTAATATTGCATAAATTTCAAATTTTTTTAATGACTTTATCGATTTTTTGTTATCAATTTACGTTAAAAGTTGACATGCTGATAGATTTGGGCAAAGTTACCCCCCATGTCTTTGCCAATTGAGCTAAACGACCCCACTATATTACACGCATCCATGATTAGTACATAATAAAAGCATCTCAAACATAATCTCTAAAATATTCAAACTTTTCATAACAAAAAGTTACACATTTAACATCAACTTCTTCACTTCAGATTTAATTTCAAGATTCTTTATTTAACGAATTATAATAAAATAAAAAAGTTATTTCTCTCTCTCTCTTGATAATCATTTTTAAAAAAATTATACATCTCTTCTGTTTTCTACGTTTTAAGAAAAGATTTTGTAAGACCAAAAAATACTTGCCAAAATCCCTTTTTTAAATCATTTAAGAAAACATGAATGATGTCCTCCTTGGTAATTTCAACCCCTCCCCCATCAGAAAGCTCCATCCATCTAAATGACCCCGTGAGAAAGAAAGAAAGAAATGGAGGAAATAAGATGGGAAGAAAGACACCATGCCCTAACTCACATCCTAACCCACCCTCCCACCACCACTCCGTCTCTCCACTCTCAATTCTTCATTTCCACCCATATCCCTTCTAATTACCTCCTTTCCAATTACCCTCCCATCTACTCCCCTCCCTACCACCAATTCCGGTGGGCTTTTCGTCTTTTCCTTAAAAGGGTGTCTAGATTGGAAGGTTCTTGGAGGGCAAAGTGTCCTTATCAACAACCTCCACCACTGGTGCTTGCTAAGGGCATACACCCACCAAAATGGAGCCATGGAGAGAAGAGGGAGTATGTGAAGAAGAGACTTGGAAGGAAAAGGTTAGGGAACCATCTCAACCCTTGGATTCCAATCTTGTTGCCTAACCTTATCTTGTTCTCTTTTTTACTTTGGGACCCTTTCCTATCCCCCGGCCCCCATCATACTTAGATTAGATTCACCCCAATTCTATATTTATATTTATAATTGTATTAATTACATTTCTTTTTTTATAAACTTAATTATAATGAGTCAAGTTTTAAATGTTACTGTTTTTATTAATGGTGGAAGATTGAAAGTGTATGCGTCATGATACGAATCAATCTTAATTTAGTTTATGCATATCTTGATTTTATTTTATGTTGATAGAGTATTTTGTTTAATGTTTCTTTTGATTTGAAGTACACTTTATAATTGTTATTCATATACAATAATAAGTTGTAAAATTAAATTTTAAAGAAAATGTTTTACAATATTATTGAAAATACAACATCATGGGATTATGAAATTTTATATTTTGTTTTGTTGTTTCTGTTTTTCGATTTTATTTTACAGAAAAATCTAAAGATGAGTTGGTTATTATTTCATCTTAATCTATATTTGTATATCAAATTAAAGATTATAAAATTTTGATCTTTATTAGTTTAATTTAAGTTTTATTATAATTTAGATTTAAAATAAAAATATTTTTCTAGTTTAATTATAATTTGTTTTATAGAAATAATGATAAAATATTTTGTTAGGGGTCAAATATTTTTTAATTTAAGTAATAACTATATTTAAGATATTTTAAAACTTAAGGAGATTCTCAATTTTTTTGTGTTTATTGGTTATTATATGAAGAGTTTTACATTTTTAGGTATTTTAGAAAGAAAAAAAAGGTGTTTCATGTAGTAGCGATTATCTAGTATTTATTGTAATTACACGAATTCAAATATAGAGTTTTAATAAGTTATACTTATGTTTAATCAACTTCTAATCTTAAACTTTAAGTAATATGCATTAATAAGTGATATTTGATACATAAAAAGTAGTTTTTAAAAGTTTAGCCTAATTTTTTATAATATAGTATAGATAAGATATTAGTTCAAATATACTATGATCAAAATATGAACATCCCCAAGAACGAGGAGAAAGAAGACCGTACGTGCGACTCTCACCGCATACGGATATTTTTTTTTTTTGCCTAATTTCACGAAAATAAGAACTTAATTGTGTAAGAAAATGAAAAAAAAACAAAATATCAATATAGATATTAAATTAGAGAAAATAAAATAATTTATCAATTTTGATGTCAAGAACTCGAACCTTCGTTTCTGAGTTATATTTGATTTATTTTACATTTGTCTTGATTTTATTTTATTTTTATAGAGTATTTTATTTTATTAGAAGATCTAGTTCAATGCTTCTCTTGATTTGTATGTGTCTATTAGTTGTTATCGGTTAGTTTTATGGACTTTAAACATAAAACTTAAAAATTCGTATATGTAAAATAATAATTTGTAAACTTCAATTTTGAACATTGAGATAAACGTCTATAATATAATAAAGATATTGTAACGTACTCATGATCAAAATTATGAAAATCCAGCTTAAGAAATTGATATATATATATATATATATAGATATTAAATTAGAAAAAATAAAATACCTATTTTATTATATATAATATGTCTAAATAAAAAGTTAATTATATTTAAGGTAATTTAGATCTTTTAGAAGAAGTAAATTTGATATAATATGGGAATACTAATATGAGTTTACAACAACCCTTCAATCTTTCATTCTTATATAATATTGGTATTGTTGAATGTAGTATTGCTACAAAATCTTCCCCCTCCATTGGTGGACTTCGAGAATATTATCTTCATTGGCTAAATCGTCTTCGACGTAGAATAGTTCATTCTCGAGTGATTGTGTTTGTATCGCTCGTAGCTATCCAAGTAATTCTTGAAGCAAACGCAAGGCTCAAATGTTTCTGGTGTAAGACGTGTTATTCATTCCAACACCCTATCACTAAAAGTAAATGTAGATTCCGAAGTTACGTTGCTAGCATGGACAATTAGTAATTCTCTAGCAGTGACGAGAATCAAAAATTGGCGTTCATTTTCTTTCCCCTATGTCAAATCTTCAATATGTCAAGGTGCTTAAAATCATCAAGCTCATATAATTAACTCACAATATTAAACAACATATAAATACCTAATTCATTATGGTCGCTACTACTTTAGACCGCTTGCTAGATTGGTTACATATATTATTATGTAGTGTTAGGTGGTGTTTGTTTTTTAAGAGGTGTTGAAGTCTGAAATTTTATTTCACTTCTGATTTAAAAGAGATAATGCTGAAGTCTGAAATCTGAATCAATAAGACTGTTTGTTTTTGTAAACTGATAAACGTCTGAATTTGTTTAAATTATCTATTTTACCCATTAAAAATTATAGTGTTTAATTTGTCAAGCCCCAAGAAAACCAAATCCCAAAATACATGACATATCATATAATAGGTTCCAATATATACAAACAGATTAATTATATCCATACATATAAGCAAATATCCTGAATACAAGAATTGATCTAACAAAAACTAGTTCAACAGCCAGTTACATCTTTCCTTTACCTTAATCTTCCAACCTGAGCCGACCTACAAAAATATTTTGAAAACAATTGAGGGTTAGACCAAAAGATCTAGTGAGTGATTTCCCTTGAGTTTAAACCGAGATTCTGGTAAACAGTTATAAAATTGAACCAATAGATTTCCTTGAGTCAAAACAATTGGAAAATATATTACCCAAATTGAGTCGTAGGGTTTCTTCATCGGATAAAGTTGGACGATTAACTCCTTCATCAGACTAGGCTTGGGCGATGAGCACTCTATCCGCCCGAGGCCTGAGCTATGAAGGGTCTAACCGGACAAGGCTTGGGCGATGAACACTCTATCCGCCCAAGGCATGAAAGATAAAAGCTTAAGCGTACAAGCTTTTGGCGATGACCATGTCCCATTGGATAGAGTGTTGGACGGTGAAGAATATCAACCGACCTAACATATCGCGGATGCCTTGCCACCTATCGCAGTTATCCCGCAACTATCATGGATGCCCGCCACTATTTTAATGCCTCGACATGTTAGTCTGAATCCAAATACGTGAGATAATTTCATGTATCAAAATAAATCATGTGTAGCGTAATAACACGTATTTTACCAAAGCTTTGTAAAAACTCACCTCATCCGATATCAAACAAATCTCACCGAACCTCTATCCAGTTCTACGTGAAAACATGACGTATAAGTTTTTCAAACTTCCTCTTAAAACTCACACAAAGATGCTCCCCCTAAAGATTTACCAAACCAAGCTATATATGCATATTTAAAGGAAATGATGTGCGAGCATGGGTTTGCCCCACCCCACCCCAATATGAAGGCCTTACCAAAAATCAAAATCCAATACAACTATTGGACCTATAATTTAAAATCACAAGGAAGTGACCTAAATTTTATCTTTGGTCCCTCATATTCTATCAACTATAAGATTTTACCCCTGAACTTTCCATCGCTATTTATTTCGAAACCCGATCAATAAATTTAAAACTGAACATTACAATATCCTCTCCTTCTTCCGTCCCACAATTCCTCTAGGTAAATAAATGATGATACTTTACTCTCATCTCAGACTCGGGTTCCCAGGTGGCTTCTGGCCCCTTATGATATAGCCACTTTACTTTCACTAGTCTAATCTCTTTATTTCTCAAAAATTTTACTTTGAAGTCAGCAATGGCTTCAGGAGTCTCTTCAAAACACAACTTTTCATCAATTTTAATTTCTGGTATGGCACAACTTCTTCTGGGTTCGCTAGACACTTCATTAGATTTGATACATGAAAAGTGTTATGAATACCACTGAACTCCATAGGAAGTTCTAGTTTGCATGCCACTTCTCTGACTCGTTCAATGATAGATTAAGATCCAATGTACCTTGGACTCAACTAACTTCTATTTCCAAAACAGACAACTCCTTTCTAAGGTGATACTTTCAACATCACCTTATCACCAATTTAAAACTCAATCGGCTTACGATGCTTATCAGCGTAACTTTTTTGCCGATCCTGGCTACTTTCATTCGTTCACTAATCTAATTAATCTTATATGCCGTCAACTTAACTATATCAGGTCCAGCCAATTGTTTCTCGCCCACTTCGTTCCAACACAACGGTGTTCGACACTTCGCCCGTACAACACTTCAAAAGGTGCCGCCTAAATATTCGAATGATAACTGTTGTTGTAGGCAAACTCAATCAAAGGCAAATGGCTATCACACGATCCTCCAAAATCAATAACACATGCCCGTAACATATCTTCGAGCGTTTGGATCGTTCGTTCACTTTGTTATGGTCTGTGGATGATAAGTCATACTCAACTTTATCTGTGAACTCATTTCTCTTTGGGAACTCTTCCAAAACATAGACGTGAATCGATTGTCTCGATAAAAAATAATCGACAATGGAACACCATGACGTGTTACCACTTCATCAATATATAGCTTCGCTAGTCGATCCATAGAATATGATTCTTTCATCGGTAAGAAATTAACAGACTTGGATAATTGATCCACAACAACCCATATAACATCAAAGCCTTTCGGTGTTCTAGGTAGCTTGGTTATGAAATTCATAGTAATGTGATCCCATTTCCAAACAAGAATTTCTAACGATTGCAACTTACCAAAGGGTCGCTTATGCTCTATCTTCACCTGCAGGCAAGTCATACACTGCTCAAACATGTCTTGATGCATCTTTTTTCGTTCCTGGCCATCAGTGGAATTGTTTCACATCGTCGTCATCATCACCATCTAGATCACTTCCGGGGTCTGGGATAGTAGGTTCATCATCATCATCATCATCATCATCATCATCATCTTTGTCTTCATCATCATCATCACCAGCAGCAGAGGTGATGGGAAGATCATCATCCTTTGGGATGGCATCAACCGCCTCAGCTGAAACAGCTTTGGTGGTCGTGATTACAGGAGCAGCAACAGCTTCAGCTCTAGGAGCTTCAGCTGCAGGTAATGCTGGAGCAACAACAGGAGTTGGAGCAGCATCAGATGGTCCAGCAGCGTTGGACCTCATCTCCCCCTCTCTGGCTAAGACTTGAGAGTACAAGCCAAAAAGTTCGTGCACGCTCTGATGCTGGAGAACCATCATCTCCTCTAGCCTTAACAAAGTAGAGGCTAGAGTTGTTGTTGCCTCACGCGTCTCATTAAGCTGAGTGCGATCATCAGCAGAAAAGGAAGGCGGGATCACTGGAGCTGGTTGACGGACAACATCCAGGATATGTTGAAGAAGTTCCGTCTGCTGAAGGGAGAGAGCCTGTGCATCATCAGCCCTGTTGGAGAGAACAACAATGGCTTCAATGTTGGCTCGAACAGCTTCCTGGAGAGTCAAGGGATGACTATGTACTTCTTGAACGTCTGCTTTGAGAGCTGAGAGGTCCACTTCAAGTTCAGCCTTGCGGGACATCTCTTGGTGAATTTCAGCCATCTTGCAGTAAACGGGATCAACGACAGGGAGAAGGAGTTTGACATCTGACGCCATGTCATAATCCTTGTCATCATCGATAACGTCATCTTCCCCTTCTTCTTCCTTCTCTTCCCCGTCCTCTTCCTCCTCTTCTTCAACATCTGGCTGAGGCATAGAAGAAGGACCTGCAACAGAGGAAGGGTGAGCATCAAGAAGCTCAGGGTTAGTAGAAATGAAAGGGTAGAAAGATGAAATACCTAAGGGGCCATCAATGACATCCAAAGGATTGTCACTGGCGTGAGCAAAGATATCCTCAAGAGGATGGACATCTGTATGCTAAGGAGCATCGAGAGGAGCAACCTCAAGTCTAGTGGTGTGTGTTTCAGTATCAGGGAGGACGGTCGTTGATACATCGTCAACACGTATGAAGACCAAGGAAGGAAGAGAAGAGAAAATGGTTGAGAAGAGACGTGGGTGTTCAGCGGTGGCAGCACTGATATTCACACCTTCAGTGATTTGGGTCACTAAGGCGGTTGGGGTAGATGTGTTAGGAATGAAATTCAGTATTAAATTGTATTCGTCTTGAAAGTTAATTTTGTCTATAATTGTATAAAGTCATCGTGTTTGACTTTTCTTATAGATGTTTTGACTTTGACATTTGACTAGTTGTTTGACCTTATAATATGGTGTTAGTCTTTGTAATCAAGTAAGGATGCTTATTGTAAGATTCATTTACGTATAGTGAAGTTTGACCAAGTCTAGAGCATTGACTTTCTCTCTCAACTCTCTCTATGAAGTTCTTAATGTTCATATTCAGATCTGCTATGGATTCTTACAAGTTTTATGAAGATTGATCTTATCAGGGACTCACAATTGGTATCAGAGCAGGATTTGCAAGAAATCAGAAGAAGAAATCTTCATTTTTTGAAGAAAAGTTTCTGGAGTTCTTTTAATGTTCTTCAATTTTTTTTTAAGTTTGATCCAATTTTTTTAAATTTTTGTGTTTTCGTGTTAAAACAATGATCAATCTGCTCGAAATTGTGTTGTGAATCTTTGTTAAACACAAAGTTTTGTGTTTTGATCATCTGATTTCAAGTTTTGTTTGAAATTTGTATTTTTAAAAATTTTCGTGTTCTTAATTTTTTTTAAAATTCCAGATTTGATTTTTTAGTTCAAATTTTTTCTGCTTTTGTGTTTCTCTCTCAAAGTCCAACCGGTTGTTGGCCCAATATTTTCATAAAACAGCCCATCTATCTTTTAAAATCAGAAAACATCGCAGATTCATCTTCATCGCCTAAATCACCTAACAGTTTCATCCATCTTCTAAATCAGACAGGGCGCTTGAGGGTTCTTGAGAGGATATTGATAAATCGGTTGAGGGTTCTTGAGCGGACTAGAGACTTCATCGCTTGTGGCATGAACGGACTAGAGAATTGCTCGCACAAAGCTTGATCGGAGTTTTGATCGGATTAGTTTATCGGCTCAACTTTTATCTGATTTTTCGAAGTCTAAATCATACACCTATTGAGCTGATTCTGGCCGAATTCGCACAACGTTTGAGCGGACTAGTGACCGACTTTAGCTTCTGTTGTGACCGATTTAAGCTAAATCGCACGCAGGGTGTGTAATTCGCTCAATCAGGTGTGTAAATCGCTCAATCAGTTTTGTTCATCACCTGTATTTGTAATCGATTTAGGACTTGGTTAATTTTCTCTCGATTCTAGCTAAATCGCTCAGATAATCGGACAAAGGTTGAGAAATTTAAGACTTAGCAAGAATCGCTCTATTGGATTGATCTATTTTCTCTAAATCGCACAAAGGGTCGACTGTTTTTGACCTAAGTTCAAGTTCAGTTATTAATCAGATTAGGGAAGACCAAAGTTTTCCTTAGGGCTGGTCAGATTGGTGTACTGGACTCTCAACGTGCTGGGGTCTTGGATTCTGCTGCGAAGTACATCCAGCTTCGACTTCGAACGTTTATTGCTCGCAAGGATTTTACATTCAAGTGAGCTGCTGTAGTTTCTTTCCAAGCTTGCTAGAATTATATATGCTGCAAAACAAGAAGCTGCTGCTGCCATTTTGATTCAGAAGTATATTCGTGGATGGCTGTTGAGGAATGCCTATACGCAGCAACGTCTCTCTGCTGTTCATCGTTCATTTATCTCCTTCTGGTTCTGAATTTGGCTTCATGAGAGATTGCAAGAGGTTCTAGAATTGCTATTCTGTTCGTTTTTGCTTTCAATCTCAGATTTCCAGCTTCAATTTCATCTATTTTGATCGAAATCGCATAATAGTGCTTGTCGATCTGTCCAAATTCTTCTACATTGCTCAAGTGGTCTTGGAGGTTAAAGCTCAAGAATCAGAGAAGAAAGTAAGTCTTTCTCAGGTTGGTGCTATTTCTCCACGTATTTGTGGTTTATTGCACAGACCTTGCATCCGGTTTAATCAAGATCAAGCAGGTGCTGTGATTGGATTTCATTTGTAGAGCAGGATTCCCAGGACTGACTCTTAAATCTGGAGCAATATGTTCAGCTCCAACAGTCTCATTGAATAGCAAAAACAGCCTGTTTATCAGCTTGGTATCTTCTAACTGTTTTCATATAAACAAGCTATCATAACTGTTTTGCTAACGATCATCTAAGTTTCTTTGAGTTCATTTGTTTGAAAGCTGCATGTTATCAGTAAGTTCTTTCATTATACAAGATTGGAAGATACTTTTGTTCGGATTCAAGACAGTCATCTGGTGGACATTAGACAGCAGCTGTGTTTTCTCGATAACCTCTTTGTCCGTTTTCAATCATCTCTCAACCTAAACTTGATTCACGGACATCTTCACCTGGATACAATTTGACTTTCTGTTTGAATTCATCTTGATTGCAAAATCTGTAAATTGAATTTGACTTGGTTGTTTTGGACAGATTAGTGTTGGATTATTGTTTGATTTTAGTTTCTTGACAGAAGCAGTTTGCTGTAGTAATTGTTAATCTTGGGTTATTTGTGATGAGGAGCTAGGTGGCAGGTAGCTTCATTGGTTGGAATGCATTTGAATTATACACTCTGATTTTGTGTTGACAGAACATAGTTTAGTCTGATTAGGTGTTAAGTCACACAAGTTTTACATCTTCGTGCATAGTCTCATCCTGTCTTTGACACACTTCAGATGGTATCATCTTGAATTTTATATGGTGGTTGTGCTGTAATGGTCTGATTGGCAGCAGTTTTTGTGTTTTTGGTACTATCTTTTTCTATTGTTGCTGCATTTTACACTTGTCTGCTGGCTCGTTGTATTTGGATGCTTGTTACTGCTGTCTTTGTTTTAGGACTGTTTGTTGATGGTGTTGCATCACAGCTGATTGATGATTGGTAAACCTGTTGTGGAGTGATCAAGTTGCAGGAAGTTCTTTATATAGGCAAATTTGATAAGTCTAAGCTTACAGTGAAGAGAGTTCATAATAGTGAAGCTATATTGTGTTGTATTTTGTCTGATCTGTAATTATAAAGGTTTCTGTTGATTTGGTTTTGAACAGTTGTATTGGGTTTGTTTCTTCGAGGACTTATTTTTGTTTGGTTTATTTTTTTTGTTTTTAATTTTGGATCATTTTTTATATGTTTTTGGTATGTGTTAACTGTTTGAGAAATTTTTGAACTGTTTTACGTCGTCTAAACTGTTTCTTATCAGTTTTAACTGTTTTTAATAGTTTTAACTGTTTTTACTGATTTTAGACAGTTTTTCGTCGTTTTTCTAATTTCTCATCAGTTTTAGTGTGTTTCTGTTTTTCTTTTTGAGCTAAACTGTTCCTGATTTCTTTTACTGATTTCATCGCATTAGATCCTGTAATTGATCAATCTTATTTTTTTTTTTTCTGAAATGGCAGCTTTTTACGAGAGAGATTACAGAGAGCTTAAAGAAAAATACGATAAACTAAATTTTGAGCTTAATAAGAATATATCATGGACAATTCGTCTGACTGACTATCATGAGAGAGAGAGAAAGAAGAAAAGAGAGTTTTGCAAGAAAAGCCGAGTGATCTGATGAAAACTGGTTCTAATCCACAAAAGACAGTTAATTTGAAGAAACAGATCGAAGAATTAACAGCTAAACTGCATAGATCTGAACTGAAAGTTGATTTTTTGGAGAGGAATAAAGGTTTAGAAATTGAGAAGGTTTTAAATGCAGAGAGAAAGGAATTGGAGAAAAAAAAGAAAAGATTTATTGATTTCGAGAAACGGTTTGGAGCTGAACGTATATCTTATGAGAATAAGATAAACTCTCTTGAGCTGAATGCTAAAATGCTGTTAAAGCAGATCTCGGATTTTGAGCGGCTGATCATCTTGGATCGAGCCAAGAATGATAAAGAAAAGAAAGACATCTCCGAAGACTGTCAGAGTTAATTACAGAAATTATCTGAAAGCATTGATCTAAAGCAGAAGGCTTTAGACGAAGAGAAGAAGCAATTTGCCCTTGAAAAAAGAAATACTTCAAAGAAGTATACAACAATTGCTAAAGAGCTTGCAAATAAGAAAAAGTGGCTTGACATCGCTTCGGAGAATGACAAGAGCAGCTCAGATGAAGAAAAACGAGATTTGATAAATCAGAAGAGAAAGTTTGAAATGCTTCAGAAGGAGTTAGAAGGAAAACTCCTGGACGCTACAAGCAAATTGTCTAATCTAAAGACAGACATTGAAACTGAGATGAAGATGAGAACTGAACTTAAAATTAAATTTGATTTAGTTACTACTGAAAGAGACTAGCTTTTACAAAAAGTCAAAGACTTTTCGTGTGCACACAACTTAATTGGTTCTCCATCACAGTGTAAAACTAGCTTTTATGACTGTCTCAAATCGAACAGTTATTCTAGCAGCCCTAAATCTATTGTTTCTAAGAACTATTCTCGTTCTTCTAATCAGTATTATCAAGGGTATGTCATTGGATCATCCAATTATTCTTCTAAAGTTAAAAGCATTTGGGTTAGTAAATCTGAATCTGTTTCAACTCGTACTCCTGTTGCTACTAATAATATTCCTTGTTTTGTGAGATCCAATTCTGATTTGATAAATCTTAGCAAGAAAAGGATTATGTGCTCCACATGTAAATCAACAGATTTTGTGAACAAGAAGATATATAACAGATGGAGTACATACAACATATATCAGAACAGTTCGAAAGGTAAAAACATGCATGATCAAAATTACTGGTACGGATCATATTTTATTCTTGATCATCCTGTTCAAAGTGCTAAAAAGAATACATCAAATAGAAATAGATGGTTTGGAAATTACAGTGTACCCCAACCCGATACTAACAAAATAGGACCCAAGTTCGTTTGGGTACCAAAATCTACTTAATCTGGTTTAACAGGTGTGTCAATTTTGTGCTGATCAGAATATCATTTCAGTGATACACCAATGCAGGGGGAGTTGTAATTTATTCCAAACGAGGCTTCTGAACATTTCAATTCAGGACCCGTGCTTTACCGAGTGTGGTTTCTAAACACTCAATTTAGAACCCGTGCTTAAAATGTTTCCTTTTTTAATTTTTGTGCTTTACTGAAACATTTCTATAATCTACATTATAGGGGGAGTCTCTAGAAGTTTTAAATAAATGTTTTCTGGAAGTGAATAAATTTTTGGAAACGAGTACATTTTATGAACAGGTATTTCCTGAGATTTTATTTGTGTAATTTCTCATCGTACATAACTCCAATACCTGTTTCAGCTATTCTTCAAACTGTTATTATCACGTCTCTTATAAAAAAATCATTTTTGGTGATAATACGCTCGTTTGTATTCAAATTTGTTTTCTGATATTTTTTTACATTGATTGATATACATTCGATAATTTTTTTAATATCAGAATCTGTAAACTTATACTTACAGATCTTCATTCATTTCTCTCATATATACTGAATAATCTGATCGTTGTCGCATAACTCTTTCATTGTTTGTACTTAAAAGCCAAATTTCTTGATCAAAATTTGTCTGATCATTGTGCTTATCTGCAATAATATTTTTTTGATCAATCATTGTGATCATCTGAGCATAACATGTAATTTTAGGAGGGACTGAGTGCTTATCAGAAATACCTCAATGGAATGTCAGAACCGACAAACCTACCCATGAGGACAACCATATCTGAGTGAGCTTTAAATACAAAAGGGTTTGTGTGCTGAGATTAAAATGAAAAAGAGAGGGGTAGTTGTTGTGAGCTAAAAGAATTGACAAGAGTTGTGTCAGGATTAAAAGAATATACGAAAATCCTATTCCAAACTTATATAATCCGGGCATACCACACAATCTATTAGTTCTCAATTCTTTCGAGACTAATATTGAAAAAGGCAAAGCCTAGGCCAATTCTTGTCACAACCCCACCATCTACTCATTTATCTCTCAACAGATAAGTGTTTCAATAACACTTGGGGCACACAACTCATCATCTATCAATTTCTCATTCGGAGAAAGTTGATATTGAATCAGAAGGATATATGTCCCCCCTTCAAGTCTTTTTGATCACTAATTGAGTTTGATAAATTTGTGTAGTACACACGGTTTATCTTTTTGAGCCTAAACAAAAGCATTCGTTGCTTTATCTTTCTACACTACACAGATTGCATTTTATATGTTATTTTGCCAAAACATTCATATATATGCTATTTTTAAGCTATCGATGATTGAATGGAAGTCCTGGTGAGATGAGCCTCAAAAAGTCTCATATATACAGTACATCCGTTGTACTGAGTATATTTGTTATACTCATAGGCCAATCTTTTATAAGATTGAAAACAATTTCATTCGTTGAAATTGGTTGTTATCTTCCCATTCCCTTAATCTGAAAAGATTAAATAAGTGGATTTGAAAAGATCTACTTACATTTTCATGAATTGACGGCTTTTGCGGGAAATTTCATTCATTCTTGTGTATGATTTCATGATTCTCATTTCATCATAAGGGGGAGTATGTAATAATGAATGAAATGTCCAATTCCGATCATTATAAGGAGAATTTGATGTAAAGATCAAGGGGGGAGTAACTTCGAAATTGGCAAAAGACTCAAAAGAAGTGCGACTAGAGATAATTATAAAGATTATTCTGATGCTAAAAGGACTGAGAGATGTTTAATGTGAAGATCCATTTTACAACACTTTACTGAAGATTATCTCTGGAGTTTGTTATTGTTTCTGATCTACATTGTCAAAAGAGAAGATCATCGCGGTTCTACATTCGAGGGGGAGAATGTTAGAAGATCTTTCTCAACAATTGATTGTCTGACGATTTCGAGTTGAAGTTGTTTTTTGAAGAAGACATAGCGGGCTTAAAGCTTCAAAGTTCAAACGAGACTCAAAACGCGAAAATTCTTTCAAGTCTGAATACAAAGGGGGAAAATGTTAGAAATGAAATTCAGTATTAAATTGTATTCGTCTTGAAAGTTAATTTTGTCTATAATTGTATAAAGTCATCGTGTTTGACTTTTCTTATAGATGTTTGACTTTGACATTTGACTAGTTGTTTGACCCTATAAATAGGGTGTTAGTCTTTGTAATCAAGTAAGGATGCTTATTGTAAAATTCATTTACGTATAGTGAAGTTTGACCAAGTCTAGAGCATTGACTTTCTCTCTCAACTCTCTCTATGAAGTTCTTAATGTTCATATTCAGATCTGCCATGGATTCTTACAAGTTTTATGAAGATTGATCTTATCAGGGACTCACAAGATGCCACTGATACGACAGTGATGGGAGGAATCACTAAAGAGCTAGAAGGGTTAGCTAAAAGTGCCTCGGGGTTAAGGCTAGTTTCAATAGCTGAAACCTGTCGAGAGGTTTCAGCCAGAGACGTGGCTATCCCCTTTTTGGCCTTCTTGGCACTCTGAGGAGAACCAAGAGTTGGTTGAGAAGGTCGTTTGGAGGAGGTTTTAATGGCTGGGCTAGACGTGGGGGGGGGGGGTTACCCTTGTCCTGGCCACCTGAGGAGAGAAG